CTGAGTACTTTACTGTGTATACATGCTTTTGTTGTTTGTTTGTTTTATTAGTTTTTTTCCAGACTGGGTTTCTCTGTGTAGCCCTAGCTGTTCTGGAACTAGCTCTTGTAGACCAGGCTGGCCTTGAACTCACAGAGATTCACCTGCCTCTGCCTCCCAAGTGCTGAGATTAAAGGCATGCGCCACCACTGCCTGGCTTGTTTTTTTTAATATTTAAAAAGATTTACCTATTTTTATGTCTATGAGTGTTTTTTCTGAATGTATATACACCACATGCATGCCTGTGGAGGTCAGATGAGGGCATTGGATCCCCTGGAAATGGAGATCCAACATTTGTGAGCTTCATGTGGGTTCTGGGAATTGAACCCCAGTTCTCTTTCAAGAACAATAAGCTTGCTTGCTAGTTTGCTTTCCTGTTTGCCTTCTTTCTTCCTTTCTTCCTTTCTCTTGCTTTTGTTTTTGTTTTTTTATTTTTTGGGACAGGGTTTCTCTGTGTAGCCCTGACTGTCCTGGAACTCACCCTCGGCCTCAAACTCACAGAATTCTGCCTCCGGAGGGCTGGAATTAAAGGTGTGCACCAGTAAGCATTTTTTTAAAGGAAAATATTTTATTTACTTACTTAACCCAGTAGTTTGTAAGCTAATTAAAATGCTTATCTATCTATCTATCTATCTATCTATCTATTTATTGAGACAGGGTTTCTCTGTATAGCCTTGTTTGTCCTGATACTCACTTTATAGGTCAGGCTCAGAGATCCATCTATCTCTGCCTCCCATGTGCTGAGATTAAAGTATAAAAACACATTTTTAAAGGAGTTTGAACAGATGCGCCCTATGTGGGTGAGAAAGGATGCTCCCAGAAGACATGGGTTCTTAAATGAAAATATCAGTGCCAGGCATGACTTACCTTCCTTTGAGTCATTGGTCAGTAAGGTCCCAGAGGCACTTAAACAACACAGAGCATTGCCCCTGCTGATCTTGGGTGCCCACCATAACTAAATGGTAAGACCCTGTTGGCAAAGACAGTGAACACTTAGTTTGCAAGACATAAAGAAATTGATCTTGGCCAGGCAGTGATAGTGCACACCTTTAATCCCAGCACTCAGGTGGCAGAGGCAGATGAATCTCTTAGTTCAAAGCGAGCCTGATCTACAGAGGGAGTTCCAGGACAACCAGAGCTACACAGAAAATTCCTATCTGACTAGAAAACCCCTGCTGGCTAGCATTCACAGTGCTAGAAGGTACTATGCAGGCTTCTGGGGATGGGGGTGGGAGGGTCATTACACGTCATTGGTTTTATCCAGCACTGGGCCCTGCATACTGCACTACCATTCTAGCAGGCAAGATATGCCTGCTGATTCATGATGTGGGATAGACTTTTACTGGGGAGACACAACACATACATACTATACACATTGGCTCACCCCAGAAAGAGAGCTTTGACAGACCAAAATAACTATTGTACCCAAGTCCAATATGGTGAACCAGTGGAGTTTTTTATTGGGATTACTAGCAGGAGTATGAGTGAGGGTCACTTACAAGGAGCACAGATGATTCAAAAGCAGCTGCATCATCAGAAAGCCCACCCAAACATAAGTAATGAGTCCTAAAAAAATACAGTCCTGGAGCTCTCTAGCTAGTTAATCCCAGCAGCCCTTTCTCACCTCAGTTTGGCTGGTCATAGTCTCCATCCCCAGCAACCGTCCACTCTCTTTTAAACTGTTGGTATGGTCCCCCATGACTCTTCCAAGTTTGTGTTCTCTAGTATGCGAGACCTTTTGTGATCTTTTGCTTAACTCCTGAGGCTCTTGGGTCTTCCCTTCCTGGAAGAAATGTTTCCTTTTAGAGGGAATCTGCAAATCTGAGGAGCCATATAACAGACACTAGTGGCAAAGCTGTTGAAGGAAGTGACAACTGCTCTCTGAACTGGATTTGAGGCCTGCTCCAAAGGAGGAAATTAAAGCTTGGTACATGGTCAAAACCTGTTGCTGAAGTTTCTTTCCAGCCTGGTTCCACAGCCGCTTTGCTCCAAATAAACACACAAATGGTGGGGATGTCCTGTGTATATGTCAATAAAGCACTGTTGGCCAATAGGGAAGCAAGATAGGTGGGACTAGGAGTTGAGGAGGATTCTGGGAAAGAGAGACACAGGAGACATCATGTAGGTGTCCAGACCCTTTTCTCAGGTAAGAGAAATACTTAGATTAACAATTATGGGTTAAATACTTAAGTCAGAGCTAGTCAGTAAGAAACAAGCAAACAGCCAACAGCTTCATAATTAATATAGTGTCTTGTGTATTATTTGGGGACTGCAGCTGTGGCAGGGCCCAGATGGATGGCGGGGGAGGCAACATGTTACACACAAAGACATATTAATTTATATACTGTCTGGCCGATGGCTTAGGCTGCTTACTGGCTACTTCTCTCTTAATTATTAACCCATAACTATTAATCTATGTATTTTCACATGGTGTTGGCTTACCGGAGAATGCCCAAACCTGTTATTCCTTTGGCGGCTATATGCTGTCTCTCTCAAGGCTTCTCTCTGCCGCCTCTCCCCGAATTCTCCTGGTCTGGTAGTCCTGCCTATACTTTCTGCCTGGCTATTGGCCAATCAGTGTTTTATTCATCAACCAATAAAAGAAACATATATACAGAAGGACATCCCCCATTAAAAGCCCAAGGCTGGAGAAAGCACAGACGCTAGGAGAAAACCTAATGGTATTGTTTTACCAAACAGTAGTGTTGCCAAACTGTCTTCTACATGTTTACAATCATAGATTTGAGCTACTCCCAACCTTAATGGAAAAACTTATTGCAATAGGTTAATGCGGAGACTCATAACTGTTCAAAGTACTGAGAATGAGTGACTGAAGACTCAGCTGTAGATAGGATAACTATGTCAACCCCTGCCTCCTAAGGCTCAGGGAATATTCTGGAAGATGGGGATGTGAAGAAGGGAGGAGTGGTGTGAAATGCTGTCTTCTTGACATGAAAACCTGTTGTACACAATCTCACAGCAGCTGTGCTTACGTGCACAAGATCACACCAGTTAAAATTACAGTGTGAGAGGAAGGTACCCAAGGTCCTTCTCCTAACTGAAGACCTACCGGCAGTTAATGGCTGGTCAGAAAGGGAGAGTCACTTTTCTCTCAGTGTAGGTGACTATGGTGAAGTTGCCAGGGACCATGCGAATGATTCCATACCCAGGTGTATATGGGTATCCCTAATTAGACTCAGTGGATTATTGGGGGTGGGGTTGAGGTTGGGAGGTAGATGTGTTGCGGGGAGAGGGTTCCTAATGGAAGTTCGAAGGATGTAGTGGGGTGGATATTAATAAACATTGTATACATATATGAAATTTTCAGACTTTTTTTTTTGGTTTTGGTTTTGGTTTTTGGTTTTTCAAGATAGGGTTTCTCTGTGCCTTTGGAGGCTGTCCTGGAACTCACTCTGTAGACCAGGCTGGCCTCGAACTCACAGAGATCCGCCTGCCTCTTGCCTCCTGAGTGCTGGGATTAAAGTTCTGCCCCACCAACGTCAGGCTGAAATTTTCAGACTTTAAAAAGAAAGGAATGTCAGTTCTCAAATGGAACAAACTAGGACTGTTCTGTGCTTTATTATCAAAATGTGGTTCATAGTAATTGCTCATTAAGCACTGGCTAGATAATTGATTAAAGCAAGTCAGTAGAAATAAGTCAAAACCCAACATTTAGCATCGATTAGACAGGAATCTATGAAGCTAAATAATATGCAACTGTTAAAAAGTTTATTTGTAGGCCTGGGGATGTCATTCAGCAGTTTGTTTCGTTAGTTCCATTTTCCAATATCAAACAACTTCTTTTATTACAAAACTCAGGGTGCTTCTTTTTACTTATACACCCCAAAGAAAATATCCAATACCCAGCCCACATACCCACCAAGCCTAAAATAAGTGTGTCAGTTAATAACGTTAATCAACTCTGAGATACAGCTATACCACTACTTGGCTCATGCCAAAATGATTCAACGCCCTACTCTACAGATGCCTGCTCAGTCGCGCCCATTGCTGCTCTGTTCACCATGGCTAGGAAACGGAAACAACCGAAATGTCCTTCGGCAGAGAAACGGATAATGAAAATGTGGTACATGTACACCATGGAATACTATTCAGCTGTAAAGAAAAGGGAAAGCAGAATGTTTGAAGGTAAATGGATGGACCCAGAAAAGATTACATTGAGTTTGGTAACCCAGATTCAGAAAGGCAAATGCTGCATTTCCCTTTTATCTGTGGGCCCTAGCTCCAAATCTTCAGGTGTGAGGATATACATGGAGTAACAGCAGAAACCAGGAAGCTATAAAGCCACTGTGTGGTGGGGGAGGGGCGCCTGAGAAGGGAACAGCGGGATTCAGGTGATATGAAGTGGGAAATGGGAAACTGGGGAGCGAGGTTTCATTGAGTGGGGGGAAGGAGGTCAATAGAGAAGTAGAGGGAAGAAGGAGGGACAAGTAATAGCAAGGGTTTTTTGATAAATCCTTATGGGAACATTTTATATTTGCCTAAACTTGTACGACGCGTGTGCACACACACAATCACACACACACACACACACACACACACACACAGGTTATGTCATCATTTGGGCTGACAATGCTCCCTACAAGAACTATAGACTGACAAAACCCCCAGTACAAACCATAAGATGTCTCTCAAATGGTCGGTCAGGATAGTCCAAGTGACTCCCAAAACAATATAGACTATGTCTGTCACCCTTGGTAGCTTCTCAGAGTTGTCCCTATTGCTGAAGACATTCACACTTAGGATATGGAACTGATACTATTGGAGCTGGAGAGAACGTGAGAGCCTCATTCCTGCAGTCTAGCTTCCATGGGAGCAGAAAATACTACTCAAGCTGCCAAGGGAGGGAGGTATTTATAGTGCTACCCAGCTGTGACACCTATAAATGCCAACATTAGACAGCATAGCCAGGAAGTCATAAAAGTGCAGTAAGCCTTACTCACATGATGGCGGTAACCAGCTTCAGTCTAATTGAATTCAAGGCCCACTCAAAAGGAGGGAATTATGCCTGGTACTAGAAACCTACTCAGCTTCCCAGGGTTGAAGAGGTCATGGATCTTAGAAGAAAGAGATCAACGGATGGTGAGAGCTCCAACTCCAATGGATACTGCTACATCACAACTCCTGAATCCATGGCTGAGGGAACATGAGGAAGACAGAGACAGGAAAGAATTTAAGAGCTGGAATACCAGGAAGTGTGATGTGAAACAATGTATCATAGAAATGGCTGCACAAATAAGATCTGAACAATGGCAAAATCAATAGACACTCTAGCAGAGAAGAGAAAAATCTCAAGTGGCCCCACCCTTAAACAAAGAACTAGGGGTAATTAATGGGAGAGGGAGAATTAACGCCTTCCAGGGATGAGCCTCCTAAGTGGTTATCCAACACAAATTGATCATTCCTGTAACCATAGACACACAAACAGCAAAAATAGACTCAGCAGTTGTAATATATTTATGTTTACATGTAGCAATACTTTTTTTTAAAGATGCTATCAAATCAAGAGAGGCATGGAAAGACCTGGGTGGAGGAGTCTTTGAAGGAACTGGAAGAAAAGGGAAATAATTATATTTTAAGTAAAATGTATTAAAAATTTTAATTCACTTTTTAAAATAGTATGGGACACTACAGAGCTAGCAGTTTCAAACATAATACTGCCTCTAACATGAATCCCTATTTACGCAGAGAGTGGCATACACAAAAGCATTTAAGAGTCAGAAGGGAATGACTAGCTAAAGCCAAAAGAACCTTCAGAGGAAGAAATTAGTAACGCGGAGGGTAAATCCAGGAAGCCATAACAATTAAGTTTCAAACCGAGTTCTAAGAATAAGTAGGGACAGAGAGTGGCTAATAAACCCCGGAGCCTGCCAGGGACCTTACCAAAGTCACAAAGACCCCAGGAAACAGAATGCAGACTAGAGGACCCGCACATATAGGGCAGGTACCTTTGAAGAGCAGAGTATGCTTATCTAGCAAGACGCCACAAGAGGACAAGTTATTGCAGAGGTAGCAGTAATAATAGAATGTCCCCAGAGAGTTAGAAAATTCTGAATAAAGGTGTTAAGAAAACGAGGACACGCAGGACATCCTAACGTTCCACTGTCCTGGTCGTTCAGTCAACTATTATAGACCAGGAGAGATTTCAGCCGACGGACGGCTGAGCAGCGCCGCACAGAGGCCACTATGGTAGCAGACGAGCCCTAGGAACTACACCTCCCAGAGCGCCTCGGGAGCAGAAACTGCAACTCCCAGCGAGTCCCGGGAGCAACGCTCTCCGTAGTTTCCGCCGATCGCCCCTCTCTTACAGTCTTCAACCCGACCTAGCCGGACACCTGGCACGTGATCCCCGCGTGAGTGGGGAGCGCCAGACAAGAGTCCCTGGAGGCGGGGCTCGAACCCCATTGGTAGAAAGGCGACCCCAAAAGAAGAAACTGATCTTGACACTCTCGGAGTGATTGGAGTTGATGGGACGGGGGCAGAGCGAAGCAGACTGCTAACCAATCAGCGTTCGGGGAAAGGAAAGGGGCGTGATGGTTCTGCGGTCACATGCCGCGGGGTCTAGTGGGAGGAGCAGTTGCTCAGCAGCCTCTTCGCCGCTTCCTGTTTCCGGTTTCTGGAGCGGGGCGCAGAGCGGCGCTTTGGGGGAGCGCTGGCCTCAGACAGGAACCGAGGACCCGGGTCTGCGGCCCGCCGCTCTCCGGCCGCGTCTCTCAACCCCAGGGCCACGTTCTTGGGGGCTTCTTAGCTTCAGCTGCTGTTTTCCGTGACACGTGAGTGTGGGGGGCGTGGAGGAGTTGGGCCGGGGGTCCTTGCACACCCCTGCGCCCAAGGAGATGCAGCCCGAGAGTCATGCTTGGTGGTGGTTCTAGCCGAAGACCCTGCTAGGGAGCCGTAGAGCCGAGTGGAGGCGAAAGGCGTGAGGACCGGGAGCGTCGGACTACCAGGAGTGAGGGGGAGGACTTCCAGGATCAGAAGGGGATTTAAGATGTTTTCAAGGTGGAGGAAATTAAGTGCCTAGTGGGGAGACGTGTGACGTGTTCCTGGGTGCTTGTTGGATTTTGACCTGTATCGTGGAAGTAAAGGGGCGTCGTTGCATCATTTTGGGTAAGGTATGGCTTTGAGCAAAGGCGAGAATTTCCAGGGTCCTGGAAGAAGTTCGAGGAACGTGTGTTGGCTTGGTGTGGAAAAGAGTAACAGAGGGATTATCTGTTTCTTCGTGTAGGAGTTTGAAGCACAGAACCACTTCCCCGAGGCTCTTTCAGCATTGGGTCTTTCCTGCCAGTTAAGACTGATCTTAAAAGGGTTGGCTGCTGTGAACCAGGAGAAAGGAACCAAAGCCTTCCATTAGAAAATGGAAAATGGCCTCGAGTGGGAAAGAGCGAGTATAAATGATGTCAGCAGTTTCCCAATCTCTAACTTAGTCATTGGCCGTCCTGTAAAGGAGAATGTTCCAGCATCGCCAACAGATCTGTCTCTGTAGAGTAAGGAAATGGAAGATTTTCAAGCCTCTTAAGATCCTGTGTCACACACTGAAAATGTGTGCACTTCGAGGATCTATTTGTGCCATGTTAAAGGGGACTGTCCTGCTTGAATTTCATACTGTTCTGTCCTTGTGCCCATGTCCATCAGAAGTTCGCCAACAAATGCCCTCATGTCATTAGTCATCCAGGTTGTTCTAGGAACTTCACCCATTTACTATTTGTGTAACCCAGAACAGGTAACTCGGTGGGCTTCTGTAAGCCTCAGTTCCCTCGTCTTGCTTTTCCAAGATATGGAACTAACTAACATAATGTAAGTAAAGCATTTATGATCTCCACCATACTGAATCAAAAAGAAGCATCTCAGAGTCAAATCTTTCTCCTGGTTTTTCTGCTTACAGTCAAATCTTAATCTAGAAAGAATGTAAAATTATTCCTCTTTTTGAACAAATAAGCAAATGACAAGTCATATAATGTCTACCACGGTTTTTTTTTTAATTCTTCATCTCTTCCCAGTTCTGTGAAGTTTTTTGCCCTCATTTGGGAAGAGAAAGCAGCAGCAGTTAACAAATGAGGAACCAACTTTGAAGCCACAGTGCAGTGTTCATTCTGTGAGAGCATCCCCCCAAAATATGCTCCTGGGGAGAAAGAGCTTCAGAGCCCAGGATGTTGACATTTTCAGTCGGATCCTAAGAGAACTTAAGGAGTCGGTTAACAAAAGGGCCTCTCAGTGATTTGACTGGTTGGGCTATGTGTTGAGCAATAGGTGAGCTTAGGGAAGGCAAGAGCTTAAGTCCGAGCTCCTTGCTACACTCTAGTTAACTTTGTGAGGATTTGCTCCTCTTTCCTGCTTCGTTTTAAAAACAAGAAAGGCAACTCTGCTTTGGCTTCTACTGGCACCCCAGAAAATTATGATGAAAGATGTGTATTATGGTGACACGTAGAACTTGAGCTCTAAAGTCATTTATCTTGCTTACTCCATTAGCTGCGTCATTGGTGTTTGCTTTGTTTGAGTTTGCTTTTTAACCTGCGATATAGAGATGATTAAATTTACTACATAAGGTTTGGGGAGGATTGATTAATTAATGCGTTAAGTATTACAGTAATGCCTGGCTGAAGGCTGTCACTGTTAATGTGTCCTGGTGAGATGTGTTCCAGAGCCTTTGACCTCTCTTGGCCACCAGTGACTACTGTGTGGAAATGCCTTGTTTGTGTTTCTGTGGTTTGATATTTGGGGTATGGGAAGTCAGGTAGGTAAGTCCCCAAGCACTTGTTACCCTCCTTGCAGATGGGAAATAGAAACTCAGATTAAGTTTCAGGGAAAAAAGGAAATGTGATTAGATCACAAGGTTGGGGTGTCCATTTTCTTGTCATAAGGAAAGTCTGGAAGAGTTAAATGTCTCAGAAAAAAACAATGAAACTTAAAAAATGAGCAGTGTCAATGGCCTGAAAGATTACTGATAGATATGAGTGAAACCTTGTGCAAGCATAAATCACTGTGGCCTTACTACGGAGATGGTACAGGGATGGCCAACTTTTCAACACAGAGATGTGACATTCTCCGTCTACAGATATGTAGGGCTGCACTCACAGATACACCTGAGGGTGTATGTCTCCCATGGGCCATGCATAGGTCTGTTAGCATAGTACAGATGGTAAGTGAATGTAGTGGTACAGAACTGTAGAGTGTAGAAAGCTTCTGAAAGTCTAGAAGCCCTCGAGACTTGTGACTTGGAGAGGCTGGGGCAGGTTTTGGAAGACTTCTAAGCCCCTGTTTTGACCCAGTGAGTTTCCTTCTGCAGTTGGGTGGTTTTCCAGGGAAATGATATGCAAGTAATTGAGGTGATTTGGGGTGCTGTGGCTGCTTCACTGCCATCCCACGCACTTCCAGTGCATGTGAAGGATTGCTGGATGCTCCCAGAATACAGCTATGTTAGGACCCAGCACATTCAGGTTCCTCCCTCTACGTCCCATCTTTCTAATAACTTCAAGCTAGACGTGTTGGAGGATCTGTTTTTGTCATGATTGGAGCATTTTAAGGAAGATCACTGACATGAGCTTTATTTGTAAGCTAGTATTTAACTTTGAATAATGGAATAGTACAACGTAAGTTTTCATCAAACGGTAACAAAGCAAAGATGGTTGCACCCAAGTTATCGTAATTATTTTTGTCTTCTTACCCCCATAGTTTGTTTTGTTGGGTTTTTGTTTTCTGGAGGGTTTTGAGACAGAGTCACTCACCAAGTATCTCTTGCTGGCTTCAAGCTCACAGAGATCCACATGCCTCTGCCACTCAGGGCTGAGGTCAAAGACATTTGACACTATTTTGGCCATAGTTTTGAAGCAGATTCATGCTTTTGTTTGCATAACCAAAATAGCATTAATTTTTGCAGTCATGTGATTTATGTTTCCTTTCTCTCCGGAACCTGCCTTCACCTTCAACACACTCTTCCAAAAGGATGTTCCCCTTCTCTGGCTGTTGGAGGACTGAACTGTTACTGCTGCTAGTCCTGGCTTTGGCTGTGAGCAAGTCCTGGCAGGCAGAAGAAAAGTCTTGTGACCTGGTAGGAGACAATGATAAGGAGTCAAAGCAAGAGCAGGCTCTCCTGGAGAGGTTACGGCCACTGTTTAACAAAAGGTAGACGAGAAGAGCCTTAACGCGTTTAAGAAGTTATCTTTACTAGGGCTTTGCTTCTTGCTGACTGTACTTGAGTGCTAATGCGGAAGGAGTGCATGAACAATATGGATTCTAACCTGAATTTCGGCAGTATTAGTTTTATTTGGTTGTAATACATTGCCCTCTTAATGACAGACCAAATTTGCAGCCATTGATCATGTGTGTTTTTCTTATCTTTCACAGAAAAGTATTCATTTCTAATGACTGGCTCTAAAACACCAGTCTGTAGAAACCAGAACATAACTTGATAACTTCTTATAAATAAGACTTTAGAAACATTGAGCAGACGCCGGGCGTTGGTGGTGCACGCCTTTAATCCCAGCACTTGGGAGGCAGAGGCAGGTGGATCTCTGAGTTCCAGGCCAGCCTGGTCTACAGAGCAAGTTCCAGGACAGCCTCTAAAACAATACAGAGAAACCCTGTCTCAAAGAAAAAAGAAAGAAAGAAACATCAAGCAGACATACTTAAAGATAGACATGTCTAAGTATGTCTTTATCGCTGTCAGGGAATCTTCAAATAGAAAAATGATCCTTAAGCATAGGACTGTCTCTTGATGTAAGACAATAGCCAACACTTTTGCATAGCTCTGCTAGAATGTGTGGCTGTTTAAGGTGGTATATTTATCAACTAGTAGGATGGTCTATGCGGATATAAATAACTCATAATTCAACAAATATGCATTTTGTGCATTGGTTGTCACCAAAGGGAGGGGTGTGGTTTATTCCTATTTTGGTAACTAGTGATACTGTTCTTTCTCTCCCTACTTGTCTTCTGCAGTTTTGAGAGCACTGTGGGTCAGGGCTCAGACACATACAACTATAGATTCAGAGTATGCCGGGAAGCCAGCAACCACTCCTCTGGGGCAGGCCTGGTGCAAATCAGCAAAAACAATGGGAAGGAGACGGTGGTCGGGAGAATCAACGAGACTCACCTCTTCAATGGAAGTAAG